AGTTACAAGCTCCTCATCTAACCCTTCCAGAAATCCCAAATTGAGCATTGGATCCTTTTGATGACTTTTAAAACCATCTGGGACAATCCTAAATATTGTTTTAAAGTTTTTTCAAAACATTCAAAGAAATCAAGCATGGTTTCATCAGGTTTTTGTCTACATTGCTGGATTTTTGTTCAGTCTATTTTGCAGGGAAAAAATCTCAGGGATGGCTTGGTGAAGCCAGGGGACTAATTTCCTGCATTCTCCCCCTCCATGTGTTTCTCATTGTTTTAAAAATCTCTTATAGCGGTTTTCCAACCTAGCCATTCTTGCTGCTTTGCTCTCCGAGACCAATAGGCTATTCCAACAGGTTAGAATAGCCAGGATCCTATATGCTGACAATTAAATCAGGTTCTTTTGCAAACCTAGCAGGGTCTTGGGAGAGGACCAGAAAAATGGTTAGTTAGATCTCTTAATTCTGCTTTAGTCCAAGGAGAGTGAATTATTGCTGGGTCCCCTCATCCTTAGGCTTTTCTCTAAAGGGAGCTGCCAGAATTTCTGAGTTTTCTAACCTATCCTGGTCTGGCTTGCTATTCTTACTTCCCCTACGTCAGTAGAGGGTGGTGGTGGAGCAAGTGTAGAGGGGAGAAAATGAGGAGAAAGGGAGGGATGTCTGGACAAGGCAGCTCAGAAAGTAGGGGTGTAGTTGGAGAAAAGGGGAAGTGGGGTGTGGGCTTTGAGCAGTTTCAGGAGCCTTCTTTAGTTCAGAGACAGTCTCTACAAGTTTCTTATTAAGTTCCTGAAGAGAAGAAAGTTTACCTGTGTTCCTTTTTGCGGCTGCTATTTTCCGGTCAAGGTAAGTGTGACATTCATTCGGTTCAATTTTAGAGCCTACTCTTTTCCAACTGAGCGTGCAAAAATTAATTCAGAGGTATTGTTTTTAGGTAAATCTCCCCATTTCTGTAGATACTCGCAGATCAAGAGTCCACATGAATTGTGCATAAAACTCACAGAGTATTAATGGGAGGCTGACTGTGGTGGGGCTTCTCCGCCTCAGAGGCATGATTACCCATGTTAATTGCAGTTTTTCTTTTGAGTCAATTAGAAAAGGCTGAAATTGAAAGCAGCCACATAAGTACAACTCAAAGTCAGGCACCACTACCTAAAGCAGGTAGGTTTGGGATTCCAAGGAGGGAGTCGCCCAAGTTTGCCCCCTGAGAAGCAGGGAGCTGGTGGAACACAATGGAGCACATGGGCCCTGCTGGTTCCGAGCATGCGGCCTGGGGCTGTGTGGTGGGCCTGGGTGGGCTTCTCAGAATCCTGCCGCCTACACCAAGTAAACGTCAATGTAAGAATGTCTAAACCTGTCAAGAATTTTTATAAAAATTTGAGTCAAACAGAGGATAGATACATCTGGAAGAAAGATCTCAACAGACTGAGATGAAATGTTTCCAAGAAATGATTTTGCAGCTTTTTAAAATGCATTTGGAGTTAAGAAGGAAACATAAGGAGGATGACGTGTGAAGGTGGGAGAAAGCACGTCAGGAAGAAAGAATTACAGGACAGTTATTATGTGCTCTGTTGCAGGTAGATGGTCATGCTTTAGGAAGCGCAGTCTGAAAGGGGGCATTTCAAAGGGGTGTTAACCTAGATGCACAGAAACAATGGACAGGGCTTGCTTGAGGCAAAGATAAGTCTTTTACTAAAGAAGTTACATGCCTGGGGTGGGACTGCCCACCATGACCTGCCCATTTAGGAATTTATGATCAGATCAACCCTGTGAGGTTACTCTCAGTACAACCTTTTTCACATCCACACATTCCGTAGGGAGGAGGTAGACCACAGACTTAGATAAATTCAAGGGCTGAGCTCTCTGAAGGATAAAGGGGAATAATAAAGAATAATTATTAAATAAATATTAGTCAATAAATATTATTAAATAAAGGGGAAAGAATAAAGGGGACAAGAGTGATGGGGTGTGCTATTTTATAAAGGGTGGTCAGGAAGTTCTCTCAGTGGAAGTGACAGTCGAGCAGAGACCTGAATAAAATGGAGGAGTGAGTCATTCAGGTGTCTGGGGGAAGAGTGTTCTAGAGCAGGGGCGCTGAGGTGGGAGCGGGCTCAGAATGGTCAAGGGAGAGATGAGAGCAGAGTGAGGGAGAGCAGGAGGTGAAAAGTGGGGAGGCGTCTCTTTCGTCTTGGTGAGGTGTTGGTTGTACTCTGAGAGCGAGGGGTTGGAGAAAGCTTTGAAATTGGACTTCTGGAGGTGGTACAGTTCCTGATAAGGACACGGGAATGGTCTCGAGTGTAGAGTGGAAGCAAGGATTCAAGGTCTGGGATGAGCTATCTCCCTGAAATATGATGGGAGTAGAGGTGGAAAATGGGCCAGTGAGTCGGTAGGTGAAGTATCTAGTGAATGGGGGATGAGGAGGAAATGGTGAGAGATTAGCGAATGGCAGAAAGGAAAATGATGGTGGGTGGTCCAGCCAATGGCAGGAGTTTCAAGGGAGCTGATGGTTTTGAAGGAGAAGAAACAATTGGAAAGTGTTTGTGGTGATTGAGGAATCATCCTCTCACTTTGTGTCCCTAAGATATGTGGGATTTGACATAGAATGTCTCCATCTGAGAGGACAGTGAGAGGAAGACTCAAGGGGCGGCCGAGTTACTGTTCATGCAAGTTCCTTTCAAAGGGAGGTTAGAGCAGAGGTTCTCAACTGGGGGGTTGGGGGGTTGGGGGGGTGATTTTGTAACCCAGGGGATGTTTGGTAATATCTGGAGAAATTTTAGTCTGTTACAAATGGAGGCAGGATGGTTGTGCTGCTGACATTTAGTGAGTAATGGCCAGTGATGCAGCTACACATCCTACAGTGCACAGGATTGGCCCCCACAACACAGAATTATCCCGCCCAAGGTGCCAGTGGCGTTTGCAATTGAGAAGCTCTGGATGAAGGACTCCGGTGCGGTGTTTGCTCAGTAAACAACTGAAGTTCCAGGGGTGTCTATTTCCTTCTTGTCCACATTGCTCCGTAACCTTTGGGCTTGATACACATTTACTTGCATGTACGTGTGCGCACACACAGAAGGATCCTGTCGCCCTTATTTTTGGTTATATGCAATGTTTGAGTTATAGGAAAGAACTAATTAAGTTCATGGCTATTTTCAGTCCTACCATAAGATGTGTAAAATGGGTGTACCGCATGGTAATTAATCACTTGAGAATTAAGGGATGAGGTTTCCTAGGTGTTTGGTTCCAGTTAGGTGCAGACAAACTTAAGTTCTGTAGGGGGTGGGGCGGGGAATCCTTTATGTCCTCTCAAAAAATCTTTTGGGACACCAAAGAATGTTCTCTAGTGATGTAAAGGAATGGAGTAAATAGAGAGGCCCCTTTTGCCCTGCTTGGTCATTCTACATATCAGAGATACATTTTGAAATTAGTTTTATTTCACAAAAACAGGAAGCAGCCCCAAAATTGCATTGCTAACGTTTTGAAAGAATTGAATATTGATTATACATTGGAAATTTAGTTGCTGTAACGAAATTATAGACCTGGCCTTCTTCTGGACAACCCCAAGCTAAGAGTGCCTTTTACATTTCCAAAGTTGTTAAAAACGAAACAAAAAAGAATGTGTGACAGATTTGACATGGCCTCTAAAGCCTATAATATTTACGATCTGACCTTTTACAGAAAGTTTGCAGACCCCTGGTGTAGACTGGTAATTCATTTCCAGCTCTGGCCATGATGTGAATGAGTCTTGGTCACAGAATCACATTGTATTCCTTCAGAAATCCCAAAAATATTTAGTGATGCTTCTTATGTGCAAGTGATCAGATTTGCAGGATATTTACTGGCTGTCAGAGTTTATGACTTACTGAGGGAGGTAGACATGAAATAAATCGCACAAATAGTGAATTAAAATAAAGGAGCTATGAAGGGTGCCCAACGAGTGTGGCACGGGGGTCCCTGAAGGCTGTTCTGGATAAGTGGTTTGAATCGAAATTTGAAGAATGACCCCCTCCCCCACCCCAATAGAGGAAGGGGCCGGAATAGGGCAAGAAGTCAGAGTACAGTTGTGGCCCTGGAATGGACCCTAGAGATTTTTCTGTCTTCTACCACAGTTGATCAGCGCAGAAACCAGCTAAATAAATTTCTGGAGGATAGTAAATTATAGGGCGAGTAGTGTCAAAAATGAATTAGGGACTGACCTGCGGCTGTCAGCTCTGGTTAACATTAGAATCAATTGGTGACCAAGAAAATTCTGATGCCGGGTCCTGCTTCCAGTCATTCTGCTCTCCCTCAGTGAGCCTAAGGTATAGCCAGGATGGAGACCCGAGGGATGAGGTGGCCCCAGGCCCTCTAGGGCCCTCAGGCAGTGTCCTCTTCTCTTTGTGCCTCTGTTCTCTTATTTCTTTTAGGGAAATAATAAAAAACGAGTTTGGACCTACTCTAGAGTTATGTTCCTGAGGGGCGTATGAGAAAATTGTGAGTTTCTTTCTATCACGCTCCTCATCAGGGTGACTGCTTGCTGGTCGGCTTGTCACACCCTTGTCGCAGGCTGCCTCCCTATCTCTTCTTCCCTTCCCCTCCCCATCGCCACGTGTGACAATGAATGTCAGCCACTGACACCTCCCAGCCCAAATGGTGGTTACTGTTTCCTCAGAGAGCAATCAGCAGGGTAAACAGATGAGGAAGGAAGATCACCATTAAAATCCAAAACGCTGGGGCCCTCCTTCAGATGGGGGAACATGGACAGCCCATACCATGGCCCATCCCCCCTTGGGGCAGGAGGTGTTTGGGGGACGGGAGAGCAAACAGGGACTGCCCCGTCCCGTGTGATATCCCAGGCCTCCGACTGCAGAGTTTTCTCTGGGTTTGAGAGGCTGCTTTCTGCGCACGCCGGTAGCCTTGGCAACCGTGTTGCTTGCTCACTGGTTCTGTTTACCCGTCCTCTGTCCTCTGGGAGAGCCCTGAGACAGGTGATCGGCCCTGCTCCCTTCTGACCACCGCGTCTCATCCACAGGGCGGACTCTGCTGGAGAAGCTGTTCAGCCAGCAGGAGAACGGGCCTCCAGAAGAAGCAGAGAAGTTTTGCTCCCGGATCATCGCCATGGGTCTCCTGCTTCCTTTTAGTGACTGCTTCAGGGAGCCGTGTCATCAGAACGCCCAGTCAAGCTCAGCTCCGTTTGATGTAAGTCGACTTCACTTCATCCTGCGAGGCAGATTGCGGTCGCAATAGCCATTGTGATGTGTGTCTGCCAATCAGCCTATAGTTTAAAAACCAACATATGATGCAAGCCTTCCTCCCCATAGCCTCTCAACAGCTCAGCTTGTGTGTGTTTCCATGCTTTCCTTTTTGACTGGGGTATTACTCTTAAATATATTTGCCAAACCTCCTTTCCTTAACAGATGGCCACAATCTCCTAGCCGGCGCTAATCAGTGATTTTAACGTGGCTCTGAGTCAGTATTTCTGACTTTGCTGGTTATAGACATTCCTTCAGAAGCAGCTCCACAGGGCAAGAGTTTTGTTCCCACTGGGCTGCAGGTCTCCATGGGCCCCAGAGTGCTATTTCGGTGCGTTCATAACTCACCTGTGTACAAAAGACTGACATGACACAGCATCACCTGCTTTCTCATCCACCTCCCAGTCGCCGGGAGAGTTAATACTGGGCAGCTGGAATTCCACAGGTATCGACATGATCCCTAACCAATGTCAGCACAGCTGGATTATCGTGTTCAAGCCAGAGTATTGCTAGTGTTTCTCAGGTATGTGGTACCTGTTTGACGTTCCTTGCGATGAGTCTGCCTCCAAAACCCAGGTATATAAGAATTCCCGTATATGAATTTCTCATAAGAAAGCGAAAGGTCTGGTTGGCTCACTTGTGCAGAGGTATTTGTGAGGCAGAGTTCTCATCCAGATGGGTTAGTTACATTTGCCCCATTGCTTCCATCTGGACCTCTTCCCGTAACAGACTTCTTCCATTTAGATGCTGTCGATCAAGGAGTACAATGATGAGTTTTGAAAGACAATGAACATGAGCCCTGGCTGAGATCAAGATGCAATAGAAATAGTAAAATGTCTGCATGTGCCTGTTCTTCTTCCTGTTTACTCATTACAACCTGTGGCTTTCCCTGAGCTCCCTTCAGTGTTAGGAAAATAAATCACATCAAATATCGTGAGATCGTCTTGATCCTTCCCATGTGAAAGTAGATTCTCCAGCATGTGCTTAAGAAGCTTCCTTCTTAAGACTTTTCTATGTATTTAGTTTATTAATGGAATGGCAGCTAATCACTGCTAGGTAGACCTTTTTCTTCTATGGGAAGAATTGGGTAATTTAAAATGTTCCCTCCCTTTCTTTTGTCCTTTGCCAGAGGTGTATGTTATTTTAGAGACAGGACCTGGGGTGCGTGGTGGGCTAAAAGTGTTGTAGAGCTGCGTTCTAGAAGATGTATCAATTTGCAAGTTGGAATTTAAATATGGTACAGACAAAGGCAAACACGAGCCATCTCTAATATTTGCTCTTTGATTAAAACTATATTCCCAAGTTGACTGCACTTTCTCCCCTGAAAGCTCAGAAGTAAACAGTCTTATTCAACAAATGTGAAGTTGGAATAAACTGAAAAGAATGGGATAACTCTAATCCTTTTTTTAAAATCTCTGAACTGGCTGCACGGTGCCCACTACCTGCTCCATTCTTGGGTGTTAGGGACTAGTAACTCCTCCCAGCCTGGTCATTTTGGAGGGCAGTGGTGTGGCACAGAGAGTGAAAAGCTAACAGCAAATACATAAAATCCCTTAATGTGGCATACAATAATTTCCTTGGAATGGGGAATTTCTTTCCCCCAACTTTGTGATTGCGTTTTCTCCTTACTTTATTCGATGACCGTGCGGCCTTTCTACTTCCCCCGCCAAACTAAACCCAAAACAATTATGGAATTAAAGGTACTCAATTAAGAAAGGTTATTCCATACACTTAACAGCCGTTCAGCAACAGAACAGTACATTTATTGTATGTATGGCAGAGGTTTTCTTCAAAACCCAGAAGAGGTAACAATAAGGGGGAATTAGATAGACTGAGGTCTTGAGGGGTAATGAGGAGGAATGCACTTATCTGTGGAGAAGGGGACGCTTCAGATAATTAGTCTGTCTGCTGATTTCCAGAAAATTGCTGCTGGGAGGATTTCTTATCCACAGATCTCTTGAGGACAGTTGCCCTTCGAGACAAAACACCCTGTGGGACTCAGCTCAAAGCTGGTCCTCTTCCCACCTCTGAATTAGTGCCCTTCCCTAAGAGTACCCCATCCTGTCTCCCCTCACCTCTCCTCTCTCCATTTACACCTGTGATTAGAGCAGTCGAGTTTTGATTTAGAGATCTTACCAATGGAGCTTAGGGACTAGTCTACTTCAGTCAATTCCTTTGATTTAGTCCAATTTATTTTATACAGTTTTAGAACCTAACATTTTGCTTTAGGAATGCTATACAAAATACGAAAGAACTTCACATTTTCTCTTACATTTCAGCTTAACGTTTCAAAAACACGAAAAGGCACAGAGCTTTGAGTGATAATGTTAGTTCATTCACAGATGTTTACCAGATACATTCGACATGCCAGGCAGTGTTTTAGGCTCCAGAGAGTTGCTAGTGAGCAAGAGAAATAAGATTCTTGTTCTCCTGAAATTTGTATTCTCTTCAGGGTGGGAAAAGACAGCTTTAAAAAAAACAAAATGAAACAAACAACAGCAACAAACAAACAGAACCACAAGTAAAAGCCTAGGTAATGCTATGAAGGAAATCACCCAACTAATGTGATAGAGTGAACGGGGATGGGGTAAGGTGAATGCAGAGGGAAACCTCACTCAGGTGTCACGAGGCGAGGCACAAGGGAAGGTCATTCCAGGAGGCTCAAGTGGCAAGTACTACCGGGCCAGAGGAGAACGCGAGCACGACCTAAGGAAGGCGCAGCCTGAGGGCCTGTGTAGCTTGAAGCTTCATGACAAGAGGACAGAAAGGATTTAGGAGACAGAATGTTGGATGCCATGGAAGGAAAGTGGATTTTTTTTTTTAAGTGGGAGATTTTGGAAGGTTTTGTGCCGGGGAAGGACATATTTATTGTATATTTCACATGAATCACTCCGCCTGGCCTATAGAGCATAGGGGGCAGAGGCAGAAGCAGGAATACCAGGTGGGGTATCACAGTTGTTGAGCAAGAGGTGGTGGCGATAGCTTGGACAGGGTGGTGGCGAGAGAGATACAGAAGAGGCAGCAGGTGTGGGGTAGATTCCGGAGGTGGAGCTGATGGCGCTTCTGGTGGGTTTGACAAGGGGCAGCGGGAAAAGGAAATCCAAGGTGACTTCCTGGTTTTGGGGTTTAAGTAGCTGGGTGGATGTTTGTGCCATTTACTGAGATGGAGAAAACAGGTAAGTGCTATGAGAAAATGTTTTAAGCACAAAAATGGTCATCGTTAAATTCTTTTCTTGAATCAAATTCTGTTTATTTAGAAAAATCATACCTAGCATATTATCGGACAAACGTTAGCTTTTGATTTTTGCTGAGTGGAATGTTATTGCCTTTATTGGCTGATCAAAATTAGGGCCATGAGACTCTAAATTATTTCAGCCATCAAAAGGGCAGGCAGCCTTTTTCGTAGCCATGTTTTCATAAAACACAGAGAGAGAAGGAGCCTAAAAGCATTGTCTGTAGTCTTTTCCATTTCCGTCAGTAATTTGGAGACCTAGAAACCATCAACCTACTTATTCTTTGATAGTATTCTCACATTTGTCTTTTGCCTTTCTTGTTCATTTGCTGGTTTCTGTTTTATATTTCAAATAGAATTCTAAGCTAGCACAATTCTAAAGCTAGCACAATTCTAAAGCTAGCAAGAGAAAACTCAGAGATAGTCCTACTGCTTGTGACTTGGTAGATTGTATTGTTGAGCAGCAGAGGTGGTGTTTTTTTGTGGTCTGAGGAAAGACTTTTTTTTTTAGTCATCTCTCTCACATGCGAGGAAAAATATGTCTCCTGAGGAAAGACTATTTTTCTTTTGGAACCTAATTTAGACTAAGTCATCTCTCTCACATGTGAGGAAAAATATGTCTCCTGAAATTTTTACCAGTTTCCAACTCCTTAAAAGCATCAAAACCCTCATTTATGACAATAATAATTTGAACTTTTGGGCCACTGCCCTGAGGCAGTCTGGTGCTCAGCCTGTTGCCAACCACGGGCCCGGACTCACTGCCTGTTAGTTGTGAATGGAGGTCATTTTGCAAGAATAAGTCCAGTATATCGCTCCTCAAGGCTCCTTTTCCTTTGAATGCCTGTATTCATGTTGCGAACCCTTTTTCTGAGTCAGATTCGTCAGCAGCTGTTTTCCAGCAAACCACAATTATCTTACATAATTGTTGATTATCCATTAGCAAGCTCTTCTAGGATTTCTTCTAGCTATGTCCAGATATCACATTATCACTTTACATCACAAAAAAATAAAGCAAGTGTAATTGGCTCAAGGATTTTGGCAGGAGTATATGGTTCTACCTACTGAATCCTTTAGAACCGATCTTAAATGTCTTTCTAGTAGAACGGTTTTGGATGATGGGCTATTTTGAATTTGGCAGATCTGTTGATTTTACTAACTGTAATGATCTCTGTCTTTGCCAGATGGGCAGGGGCCCCTTGGTGTGCATTTAAATGGAGATAGGTGGATGAGTATATCAATGAGGCTAGAATTAAAGAGAAGAAGGAAGGCATAAAAATTCAGTCCAAAAAGGAATAAAAGAAACATGATTTTTAACCTGTTGAAAGATAAGTCTGTAATGATTACCAAGAGCAGGCACTCTGAGAAAACTGATGACATGTACTCTATTCACTGTCACCAATAGTCAGGATGAAGGCTTAAGTGAACAAATAGAATTGATCACTTGTATTTGAATTATCTTTTCAGAGCAGGAAGAATACTAGATGCTATTTAGTCAAACCCACACAGATCTTTTTCTGAGAAACAGTAAAAGCCATGACATCTTTTAGCCCTAAGAGAGTATATATACATGTCTTTTATTTTTTTGCTGTATCTTTATTTTTGAAACATAGTGTACAGTTTTAATGCTCAGGAAGTTGTTTTTATTTTGTGGTATTAAAATTATACTTAGTCTGCAGACCAGCTTTTAAAATTATTTTACCTGAGTATTTCTTTTC